TTGTGTAAAAATACCACATCTTTCTCAACCATTCCTCAGATGATGGGCATCTTAGTTGTTTCCAAGAAGAAATTCTTAAGTAAAATAAAAAGCCACAAGACCCAACCTGAAAAGACACTCTATGAACAAAGCTGAACAATTAAGAATTCAGGCAAGAATATAATGGGAGTGTTTTATTATAAGCCAATATATTTTATGAGGGTATTGTATTATAAGCCAATTTATATTTAAATTGACATATTTACGTTTTCCTAAATATTCATAAGCCCATACCAATATAAATAATGGAATAATTAAATGATGGCAAAGAAAGAGCCATTACTTAGAGAAAAGAAGATTAATGCACATAATTGTTACACAAGTAATAAAGAAACTAGAAAATCATAACTAAAACATCACTATAATAATTGCTACAGGCAAGATCTACCAGTGGATGCTGAATTAGTAGGTGTATGTTTGAGGAAAATTGAAATATCTTCATGGTCTTAAAGTGTGTTTCTAGAGATATTTATTAATTGCACAGGGAAAAATAGTAACAGTAGAATACAGAACCACAGCAGACAGTGCCTTAACAAAGTAGTAGAAGAAAGTTAACATCATCAGTAACAAAATATCAACACCTTATATGCACCAAACTGATGCTCAGAAAGGTGCACAGTATATGTCTATAATATGCATTCTTACCCAAAATACATAGCTTTGGGGCTGGGGAGATGGCTCAGTGGAATAAGTGCTTCCCTGGCAAGCGCAAGGGCCTGAGTTCAATCCCCGGTTCTGAAAAAAAAAATACACAGCTTCAATCTTATCATGAGTGTAGAAGTAAACCAAAATTAAAATACTTCTACAAGATACATAATTACTATATTCAAAACATGTCAAGGTCATGAAAGACAAAATGTGAAGAACCATCACTGATTAGAAGAGACTAAGGAAATATAACAAATGTGATAATGATCCTAGAAGTTATTAGTGTAAGAAACTGGTAAAATACAAATAAAGTCTGTAGTTTGGTAGTATTGTAGTAGTATTAATTTCTTAGCTTTGACAATTGTACTATGGTTATATTAGATGTTAACTTTTGAGAAACCTGAATGAAAAGTATATGGGAACTCACCGTACTATTTTTTGCAACTTCTCTGTAAATCTGAAGTTATTTCTAAATAAACAGATTTTGAAGTTAATTTTAAATATTATCTGTATATTATAGAGGGGCTCTATAGAGCTGTAGCTAAGAGTAGGGTTTGGGAGTAGAATTACATGGACTCTAACCCTGGTTCGGTCACTTATTAGCTAAATGACTGTGTGTGTCACTTAAGCCCTCTTTATACTTCAGTTTCATGATCTATAAAATGTGAGGATTAAATATGATACGTAAAATGCATAGGTTAGTACATGATATATTGTCATTGCCGAGAGAGGGTGAAAATAGAATGAAAGTTAAAATATGGGGCGGTTGCTTAGTTTCCATTTCCTTGCTCCCCTGGGCATCTCCTTTGGTAAAAATTTTAAGAACCACATCTCTAGGTTAGCTGAGCTATAGCTCAGAGCCCTCTTAGCTAACTGATGAGGACTCTTCCAACTTCTTTTGGAGGCTGTAATAGAATTTAAAGTTATTGGGAAAGTTTGGCCACCAAACTCATTAGGTGCACCTTACACATTGTGTGCATACATAGGTTTGGAAAATTAGTTAATATTATAGTGTTTGTTACTCAAGAGTTGTGCACCTAGTAAGTGTTTAGTACCTGTGATATCTAATCCTATGTTGTTTATTTTATCCCAGGACTTCGGGATATGGGAACGTGGAGACAAGACCAACCAAGGGATATCAGAATTGAATGCCAGCTCAGTTGGAATGGCAAAGGTAAGTTTCCTTTCTCATTGTCTTACAATTGCAAAAACAGTAGAAAATTCTTTCTACCTCCCTAAGGCGAGTGACAAAGTTTGATATCAAGGAAGCATCACTCGGTCTTCCATCCTCTTTGATCTCCTCTGTCCCCAATATCATTTTCATCATCATTGTCATTGTCATTGTCCTCACCACCTTTCTGCTTAGTGCTGTCTTTTCATCCTACCAGCTTGTACATTCCCTGGAAGTACCAAGAGTGCATAAAGTAAGAGACAAGGAATGAGATGAAACATATCCATTATGATAAATAGGTAGTTTAACCATTTAGCTCATATAACAAAATCATACAGAAACACTAAAAACAGAAAGACACCATAGGTAAAGTCTGACAAACAGAAAAATCAAGGTTGACTCTGAATGTTCAATAAAGTTGGATTCAAAGCAAAAAGTATTACATGAAATAAAGGGATAAAAAGTTTCATGACAGACTTTTATGAAGTATTATTCAGCTATAAAACAGGATAAAATTGAGGGTTTTTTTGTCAGTAAATGGATTCAACTAGACAACATACTCTTTAGTGAAATAAATTAGACCCACATGTGCAAATATCATATTGTCTCCTTAGTGTGAGAACCTGAAAGAGAAAGTGGAATCTGAAGGATACAGTAGATACTGGGAAAAGGAAATGAACTTATTCAAAAGGAAAGAGTTACTGAGTTGAGAAGGACAGGAGAGGGAGTGGGGAAAGAGATTTATCTATGTATGTAAGCAGGATGGTTTGGACAAATGTACTGTGAATTTCTGCTGGCCTGTGGAAAGAAGCAGTTAATGATTTAATTTGTTTCATCCCTTTTTTCAATTGTTTGTACTTTTTCTCTTCTAAATTTCTTATACATTTATTCCTTCTTTTCTTTCCTCTTCCAATTTTATGTGCATATATCTGGTAACTGGTTGGAAGACAACACTATGCATTGCAACACATACTGTGAAATTCTGTATCACTTGTAAATTTTTCTGTTTTAATTCTAATTTGTATTCTCTTTAAAAATAAAAAAAATTATAAAGAATGATAAACTTGAAGCCTTCATATTTAAGTGGATACCCCTTGAAGATATACTTATTAGTGAAATAAACCGAACCTACATCTGTAAATATCGTATTGTCTCCCTAATATAAGGACTTACAATTCTGTATATGGTTAGGTTTCTAAATTTCTTTGTAAAAATATGTAAATGTTTATTTCTACTTTTATATAATTATTTTTCTTTCATATTCTGTAAGGACTTAAAGTTCAACATATCAATGTCTGATGGAAAATACCTATTCCGTGATATGCCAAAATGTTTGATATTTAGACAGATAGGGTAAACCGAACTGCACATATTGCAGGTTAATAATTTGCTTCTCTTCTGGAGGGTTAACAACCTAAGTTAGCCAATCAAATTTGGAGAAAAGGAAGGGCTGCATGTTTAGCCAATATTTTGACCCTAGCCTTTCAAGGTCAGTGAAGACTCGGGACACAGGAGAACCTGCACTGTAACAACATGTAACTCAGTTGTGCTCCAAATTTTCTGATCAAGAAGATTATAGAGCCACAGAGGAATGTGTTTGATGATGTAAAGTGAGCCTGGGGAGAGTCACATGGAGAGAAAAAACATTTTCTCAAGCTTTCACAGACAGCCAATTGGTCAAGCAATGACCGTGACTCATCCTCATGTCAGACACTGACAAGGATGTACAAAGGGCGGTACAGGGCTACAGGATATATCCTGAGAGTACTTGACTGACCTTATCAGATACAAAAGTTACATTTCTTGTGGGGCCAGTGAGATGGCTCAGTGGAATAAGCGCTTCCCTGGCAAGTGCAAGGGCCTGAGTTCAATCCCCGGTTCCGCCAAAAAAAAAAGTTACATTTCTTGTTATATAGGCCTTGCTATATCTTGGACTTAACCATCCAGCAGAAATGTATAAAAGTGAGGTATATAAAGTAAATCCATATTAATACAATGAGCTGCAAAAGTCTCAAGTTAATAACTTCTGAGGATAACCCACTAATATTATAGACTGCTAGACAGTGTTAGATTGTTTAGTTGAATTCAAACACCTATAGTATTTAGATACCAATAGAATATTCACCTCTGACAGGACAAAAAAAATTAAAATTAAAAAAAAGATGCAAAGGAAAGATCATTTTGTATTTATATATACAAAATAGGATAAATTTACAG